TATCTGCGGCCATACCGCGATGAACCTTCCGCGTCTCGTCCGATCCGCGCAGACAAGCATCGCAGGGGCCAGAGAGTATTGACGTGGGTGACCAGTCGAGAACACTGTGCTGCCGCAGGTTTTTTTTTGGCGCTGCCGCCTGAAGCGTCAACAGTTTGCACCTTTTTTTTGTTGTTTCTTGCCACGGGATGAGGCTGCTTCTCTCTGCTTTGCATCCTTGCCCTCACTGCGAGACCGGTCCCGGCTCAGGCCTGCGCTAACCACACCGCCTGCACTGGCCTACGCAGTCTTGGGCTCGTGCTCGGGTACAAAGCAGCATGGAAATGAGCCTCACGCACCATTGGTTGCGCCGTGACGAGCGTCATAACGAGCGTCATGCTCCTATGCGTGGAGGAGAAGGAGATGGCCATGCACGAATCGTCTGCGGCTGTCTGTACGGAGGCGCGGCGTGTCAGAGCTATGCTTTTGCCTGCGTCCAAAGCGGTATGAACCTGCGGTTGATGCAGTCCCAGGCCACTCGACAGCTTTGCGAAGTGAGATTGGCGTCTCCGAAGGCCCACTCTGACTCTGCGGTGCAGAATGCCTTTTGCGATATCAAGTAACCGCGCATGTGACCCACCGAGCTTCGCCGTCGAAATCTCTTTTCACGTGAGGTCAGACCGCACATGTCCCTAACGCAACAGCCTGCATCAGCAACCGCGAAATGCTTGGGGCCGAGTGGCCAAATTTCTGCGACCGCGAAGTCCAAGTTTGAGCGAGCTGAGCAAGAAAAAATTGTATTTTGCTTCTGCAACCGTTGCTCAAGTGGCCCGGATAGGCATGAAGAGAACAGTCAGTCATTGAAAGACTGCTGAACAATGGTGCAGCTTAGTCCAACGCCCGAATGCGCCGGCATGGGACGGCTACTAGTGAAATTGTTCAAAAGGCAATCTACAAATTCTCTGTCTTGACATAGGACATCTTCCATCACTGACCCTGTAGTAACCTAGTCTATGCCATTGATATGGACTGGTGAATCACGGTCGGGGCACCGACACAGATGAATCGGAACGTGCTTCTAAGCACTAGTAGAATTCGCTGTGTCAAGCCCTTACCAAAGTGTTACCTCGGTGATACGAAAGGTTAAACGATTGTGGACTAATTGCCACTGGCCAGCTCAGTCTCTTAGAAAACAATCGAAGATCTGTGTGAAGCGGGTTGCCTTGTGATCTCACTTGGCCGAGCGGATCATAATCTTCTCCCTACTTGCCGATCTGTTGGACTTTAGTGCCACAGAGAAAGCTAGTAGAGTAAGCAAGACCGGAATAGTAGAGAGCGTCGCATCGAAGCTACGACAGCGCCTGTTCAAGGCCTTGAATAGTCATACGATGTGACGTATCACGAAAGTACAGTCGTGATGACATTAAAAATGTAACAAACTCGAAGGCCGCGCCTCGGGGCCGCGCTTCGGTGCCCCCTTGGCCGCCTTGCAGGACTCTGTTTCGTTTGAGCAGACGTCCTCTCGGAGATAGTTACCTGGTTGATCCTGCCAGTAGTCATATGCTTGTCTCAAAGATTAAGCCATGCATGTCTAAGTTTAAGCAATAAACGGTGAAACTGCGAATGGCTCATTAAATCAGTCATAGTTTATTTGATGGTACCCTACTACATGGATAACTGTGGTAATTCTAGAGCTAATACATGCTGAAAAATCTCGACTTCTGGAAGAGATGTATTTATTAGATCCAAAACCAATGGCTTCGGTCTCTTTGGTGAATCATGATAACTGCTCGAATCGCATGGCCTTGCGCCGGCGATGCTTCATTCAAATATCTGCCCTATCAACTTTCGATGGTAGGATAGAGGCCTACCATGGTGATGACGGGTAACGGGGAATAAGGGTTCGATTCCGGAGAGAGGGCCTGAGAAACGGCCCTCAGGTCTAAGGACACGCAGCAGGCGCGCAAATTATCCCCTGGCAACACTTTGCCGAGATAGTGACAATAAATAACAATGCAGGGCTCTTACGGGTCTTGCAATTGGAATGAGTACAATTTAAATCCCTTAACGAGGATCAATTGGAGGGCAAGTCTGGTGCCAGCAGCCGCGGTAATTCCAGCTCCAATAGCGTATATTAAAGTTGTTGCCGTTAAAAAGCTCGTAGTCGAACTTCGGCCCCTGCCGGTCGGTCCGCCTTCTTGGTGTGTACTTACTCGGCGGGGGCTTACCTCCTGGTGAACTGCGATGTCCTTCACTGGGTGTCGTAGCAAACCAGGAATTTTACTTTGAAAAAATTAGAGTGTTCAAAGCAGGCCTACGCCCGAATACATTAGCATGGAATAATAGAATAGGACGCGCGTTCTTATTTTGTTGGTTTCTGAGATCGCCGTAATGATTAATAGGGATAGTTGGGGGCATTTGTATTCCGTCGTCAGAGGTGAAATTCTTGGATTGCCGGAAGACAAACTATTGCGAAAGCATTTGCCAAGGATGTTTTCATTGATCAAGAACGAAGGAAGGG